TCCATGTACAAGTTCAAGATATTGAAAGTATTCAAAGTGGCTGAATTAAGTAAAAAAAAGATTTATTTCAAGTGCGTAATTAACTTTATGATAGATTAGAGATCTTCAATGCAGGGAAATTTGAAGGTGTTTACGGGAATTCTATTTATTTTCGAGCAGAACCGAGATCTTCAATAGAACTAAGAGCTTTATGGAAGCTTCGAGAACATCAGGACAGGTCAGAGAATCAAAGGGCAGTTCAAATAATTGCAAGGAAATATTTGAAACCACAAAGAAGTTTCGAGAAACTCAGTGAATTTCCGAAAACTTCAGCAAAGCTCCGAGAGAAATCTTGGAAATTTTATGAACATCCGGAAAACGTGAGAGTATTTTAAGTGTGTTATATCATGGAGATTTCAAGAACTTAAAAAAAAATCGAAAATTTAGCTAAGTTGATAAGAGAACATCAACGAAGTTCCATTAATAAAAAAATCAAGAACTTTTAGCAAGCAACGATATGTTCAAGAAATTCCAGAGAACTCAATTTAGATATTTTCATATAGTTTAATGATATTCAGCGAAGTTCCGAGTACTTCGAGGACGATCAGATTGCCTCAGAATAATTCCATTAACTTAAGCAAATTTGCAGCGACTTGCAAGGAATTATAGGGTATTCCAAGAATTCTATGATTGATCCTAAAACGTCAGAAGCGTCATGGAGTTATGAATATATATCAGAAAATTTGCTAAATTATTAAACAAATTTAGAGAACTTAAGGTAAGCATAGATAAGTTCAGGGAAAAACGAGGGTTAATAATGGTAATAATACTTGAGGAACATTTTCTAAACTTCAATGAAAATTAATTAATTTCAGTAAAGTATTCTAGAGAACTTTTAAGAAATTCAGTAATCGGTGCCTAACCAGGAAAGTTTAGACTATTGAAGAAGTTTTAAATTAGTGCCGATAATTTAAGGGAAGTTTTATGAACTTCAGAAAAATCTTGAGAACTTCAGTGAAAATCATAGGACTATATTAATTATTTCGTTCTAATTCCATGAAAATTGAGGGAGCATAAAAGTTCCCTAAATTAAGAAAAACTTCGGAAACTTCACAAAAGGACAGTGGTCTTCAGAAACCAAAACAATTATTTCCTACTGAAGATTAATCCTTTGTGAATCTTTAAAGTTCAAAGTGTGAATGAGAATAACGATAAAAATTAAATGGTTGTATTTTAAAATTCATTGTTTTCTTAAAAACAAACTTAGTAAGTTTTTTTTTTATTCTTTGAGATTTCCAGTTATTTTAAGAAAACATAAAATTTTCTGAGGATTTCCGATTTCCCAGATTTTTGAAGTTAGTAGACACCGTGACTAAAAACTTGGGTTTGGTTGTAAACTTTCTATTGAATATTTCGTTTTAAAGGTTCATATCGTACAAAAGTGTTTATGAGATAATAATTGAATAAGTCTGAAACATCAAACATTTATTTGATAGGTCACTTTTTAGGCACTATTTTTACTATTTGGTCACTTATTTATTCAACATGGTCACTAAAATCACTATTTCCGACAGCAGTGATCGCTACCAGTCCTGTAATAGTTTCATATGAGAGACGATCTGAGAGATGCAATGTGGGTTATAGAGTACTTGGATATCTTTAGAATGATACCTGATCAATCAGAAATCTTTAAAAACATCCTGAGGTTTTGAAAGTGATCTCTTATGACTGAGCTATTTTAAATAATTTCTGAGCAATCTGGAATCTTTGGTACGAAAATGACCCCGTTGGCTTCGTACCACTCCATGACAAAATTTGAATAGTGGCACGAAGCTAGATCCGTAGGGCTCTCGTGTTGCTTCAACAGAGGAAGCAGACGCTTCTGTAGACACTCCTTGAGCTAGATCTCTCCGTTTACAGTCCCGGTAGTCACGAACGGCGCACTCTGTTTGCCACATGAGCAGATCGCTTGCCAAATCATGTATTTCTAACTTTGAAAGTTTTTGCTTCCTTACTTCCTGCGGAGCATCAAACTTGTGCTGGGTGGTGAAGAACAGTAGCCCCGGAAGCTGCCGGAAGTCCGCCTTGACGTAAGTCTCATAATCCATGATGAGACAATGAGGCTTCGTCGGCATCTGGGTGTCCAGTTGTGACTCTCTCACCGTATTTTGCCTTTCGTCACAATTTGGAGCCTGCTGCATTTTTTACGTATGCAGTCCCTCCCGGTCGTTGGCTCTCTGAACGGAAGACTTTGACAGATTAAACTTTTTGGCCACATCCCTGACCGCACCATTGGGATTCCGCTTAAACGCTTTCACGACACGCTTGTGATCCTGATCACTGATAGATCTTCCATTCTGACCGGATTTCTCCTTCCATTTGATGCTCAGAGTTTCGTAGTAACATTTAATGACACGAATCACCGTTAACTGCACGACTCCGAGGTATTTTCCAATGTACCGATGATTTTCCAGGTGCTTGCGCAAAATCAATTCGCAACGTTGCTTTTCGGTTGTTCCAACCTTCGAAAAAATTGACAGCGATAAAAATACAGTGTAAACAATACACTCTAAACTGCTTCTACCCAAATTTTCAAGGGAAAATACCCAATGGGTAATTTTCTACAGCGTTTTTTCCGTGATACTATTTGGCTTCTGTTATAGTTTTTTTAAGTTATAGCGAAAGTAAATAGTAAAAGTTAATTAGTGAAAGTGAAAGTGATACAATGGTATTAGAATTAAAAGGAAAAACAACGTCATAAGGCGCACAACAATTCGTGAGCAGCCAAGAATGATGAGAGAATAACCGGGAGATGTGTTTTGAATTGTTGGGCTGTTGAAGATGTTAATAATGATACCTGATCACGCTGAAGTCTTTAACAAATATCTTGTAGATGTTTTGGACATCTATGATTACCTGGAGGTCTTATGAATAATTGCTGAGCAACCTGGTATCTTGAGAAAATATCTGGGAGGTATGATTTGAATTGATGTGCAGTTTAAGATCTTCAGAATGATACCTGATGAAGCTGAAGTTTTGAACAAATATTTTGAGCAGTTTGGTAGTGGAGAAAATAACTGAGAGACGACCTGAACTCTAAAACAAATATCTTGAGGATTTTTTGCAGATCTATGATCACCTGGAGGTCTATTGAATTATTTCTGAGCAACCTGGTGTCTTGAAAAATACCTGGGAGATGCAATTTGAGTTGTTGTGCAGTTGAAGATCTTCAAAATGATGCCTAATCATCAAACAAATATCATGAGCAATTTATAGAGATCTACGATCACCTGGCATTGGAATAAAGGGTGTCCACGATGAAATTGCCACACTATGAAATTGCTCTAACTTTTTAACCGTTGGGTAGAATTTAATGAAAATTTGGGTGGATTTAGTTCATAGTGCATTATTTACATCCTGCAAGTTTTAAAGTCCTGTGATCAAAACTCGCGGAAATGGAGTCGAAAGAACAGCTCGTGCGTGATAAAATCTTGCGCATTCATCACGAGAACAAGGATCTCTCGCATCGTTCCATCGCTAAAACGTTGGGAATCGCGAATTCCACGGTGTCGCGAGTGATTAAGCGGTTCGAGGAACGGTTGACCACCGATCGGAAGCCCAGAAGTGAAGGAAAAAGTATTCCGTACAACACCAAAAATCACAACCGCGTAGTTGGGGCCTTCAACCGAAATCCGAACGCCTCCGTTAGGGATGTGGCTAAGAAGCTGCACCTAAGCCGAAGTTTTGTCCAGAAGGCCAAAACTAAGGCTGGGCTTCGAACGTTCAAGGTATAAAAGGCCCCTAATCGCGACGAGAAGCAGAACAAGTCCGCCAAAACCCGTGCCAGGAAGTTGTACCTCAACATGCTGACGAAAGTTGAATGCTGCATCATGGACGACGAAACATATGTGAAGGCCGACTTCAAACAGATCCCCGGCAACCTGTTTTTCACGGCCAAGGATAAGTTCAGCGTTCCGGAGCATGTCCGCACTCAGAAGATGTCCAAATTTGCGAAGAAATTCCTGGTTTGGCAAGCCATCTGCACGTGCGGGAAGCGGAGTGCATCTTTCGTGACCCAGGACACGATGAACGGACAGGTGTACATAAAAGAGTGCCTCCAGAAGCGGCTGCTTCCTCTCCTGAAGGCCCACAACGTCCCAACAATCTTCTGGCCGGATTTGGCCTCATGCCACTACTCCAAGGACGTGCTGAAGTGGTATGCGGACAATAAGGTCAATTTCGTGCCGAAAATGTTCAACCCTCCCAACACTCCGGAGCTCCGCCCCATCGAGAAGTACTGGGCGATTATGAAGCAGCACCTTCTTAAACGACCTAAGGTAGTGAAGACAGTCGAGGAACTGAAGAAAGTATGGGTTTACATGCAAAAAACGGTTGATTCACAGGTTGTGCAGAATCTTATGGCCGGGGTTAAGGCCAAGGTGTGGGCATTTGCGTATGGACTGTAAATAAAATACGAGTAAAATGGTAAAATGAAGTTTAATAGTTATTTCTCAATCCCTGAAAATTTTATGGCAATCGGATGAAAACTCGAATTTTGCGAATCAATTTTGTGTGTGGCAATTTCATCGTGGACACCCTTTAATTTGTGAGCAATCAAGTATTTGAGAGAATATCTAAGAGGTGTGATTTGAATTGTTCGGCAGTTGAAGACCTTCAGTATGATTCTTGACTTTATGGAGATCTTAAAACACATGAAGGACTTTGGAATAATTTCTAAGCTGCCATGTTTCATATGAGCGCAAATCTGAAAAATGCGGTATTGGTTATGGAATACTTGGATACCTTTAGAATGATAACTTTTTTTTTTTTTTTTTTTTTTCCTTTATTAGAGAGATTTTTAGCCTAAGGCTAGTTCATCTCTTTTAAAAATTACAAAAAAGAATTGAGACCTCAAAAGGAGGATCCCAATCTTGGCAAGTGGGCATTTAGCTTAATTATATAAAATATTGTAAAACACTACCAAAAGGGCCGACGAATTCAAAAGCACAAACAGAAAACACTCAAATGTTGTAAAAAAGATTCGCCTCCTTCAGGAAGGCGATGAGGGCGTCTGCTGCCGGGGACTCGTCGCCAAGCAGACTTCGTATGCTGGTTCCCTCCAGACCGAAGGCAACCCGAAGGTCCTCGAGCTCCACACAGTTGATGAGGATGTGTTCTACGGAGGCTGGCACTCCGCAGGTTTCGCAGGTTCTCCGGAACGGTGTTCCTCCGAAATTATGGGAGGCCCTGCTATGCCCGGTGCGCAGCCTGGACACCACTTGCTGCTCCTTGAGGCTCGGTCGATCCTTCCAGGGATCGGTGGTCGCCTTGATTTTTCGTAGTTGGTGAGTTCGATTGTTCCTCCACTCGTTGTCCCACGCTCTCCGAACCGTCCGCTTGATCCATTTTTTGATGTCCTGGAACGGAACATTGTCAGAGAACCTGGGCCGATGGGGCCTGAGCCGGCGAGGTGGTCGGCGATCACGTTCCCCTGGATGCCACAGTGCCCGGGTACCCACATGTATACGGTGTTGGGCGGCGCATGCGTTACCGTCCCTTGTATCCACGGATGCTTTGGTGCTTCATCGGTTAGGGCCATTATTGCGCTTTGTGAGTCGGTAACGATGAGGATCGGCCGATTGGCCGGAAGGGTGGTTGCGTGAAAGACGGCCGCTGCCTCAGCGGAAAACACCGAGCACTGGGCCGGAAGTGAATTGCTGACGACCAAACTATCTCCTGAAACCCCCATTCCCACTCCGCTGCTGGAGAGCGAGCCATCAGTGTACCTGATAGAATGATAACTGATTAATCTGAAATCTTGGAAAAACATGAAGTTTTCAATGTGATCTCTTGCCGCTTGGTGTTATTTTAAATAGTTTATGATTCCAGGCTGATCTTTGAGAATATCTTGGAGATGTGATTTGAAATTGTTGGGTAGTTGGCAGCGAATCCAAACATATAAAGCAACCAACGATACTGACAAAACGGTTGCTACGACTACCGTGACAAACTTGCTCTGTAACATAGCTCCATCGGAGGTAGGTGGTAGAAGGATAATGATATATTGCTTGCCTGCTTTGTTGCAATATACACCGATGAGAACATAGCTTGATCTGAATCGAAAAAAGACATAACAAAAAAATCCCATTAACACACGTGTATCATCTTCGGATTTACTTCGTGAAGCAGCTTGCCAACAATTTGCTTGTTTCCTTCTACACCTTGAGCTGTATCGCACGGGCTGCTTGTCATGAAAAAAAAGGAAGAAGATTATATCCTTATTGCTTTCCACTTCTGACACAGCGGTATCATTCGGTTCGTTGATCGCTTGTCATTTTGTTATTTGGAGATATTTTTGATTCCTTGGTAGTTGGTGATCTTCGGAATGATGCCTGATCAAGCTGAAGTGAAGTGTTGAACAAATATTTTTAGGATCTTTTGGAGATCTACAATCACCTGGAGGCCTTTGCAATAATTTCTGAGAAACCTGGTATCTTGAGAGGATATCTGAAAGATATGCTTTGAATTGTTGTGCAGTTGAATATCTTCAGAATCATACCTGATCAAACTGAAGTCTTAAGCAAATATTTGAGGATTTTTGGAGATGTCTGATCACCTGGACGTCTTTGGAATAATTTCTGGGCAATCTGCTATTGGAGAGAATATCTGAAGTTTTTACTAAAAATTACTCAAAACGATTTCCGCGTAAATTTTACTCAAACATTTCTCTACTACTTTGTGTCGGGCGTCATTTCGATCAGAGGTGACGTATACGGTATACGTTCTACATTTTTTTGTGAAATGTTAAAGACACCATTATGAAAAAATACAAGAGGATGACAAAAGGCCGAAAGACAAAAGGTTGAAAGACAAAAGGTCGAACTACAAAGGGTCGAAATACAAAAAAAGCGAAAGACAAAAAATGGAAATTCCAAAAGCTGATGTCAATATTCTGAAATTGATTTTTCATGATTTCAAACAAATTCTCAAAAGTAATGTATGATTTTTTACTATTTCACAAAACCCCAACCCCCACCCACCCCCAAATTTAATAATGCACAGTGGAAGCATGGAATCCCAGCAAAAAATCACACGTATCCATGCACAACTTACATGATTTCAAAATCTCATCCCGAATAGTATTCCTGGAGTTCCACCACCGACGAACCGACGTGACAGCTCATAGAAACTATTTTCAAAATCTTGCCCAAGACGTAAAATACTGTGGTAGTCACAGCACAGTTCTGTCAAAATCTCAGCATTTTCATTGATTCATTGCGGGAGTGAGTGTTACTTCCGTGTCCCGATCAGTTTTCTGTGGAATCCTACCGATAGATGGAGGGAAATCCTCTCCTTCAGAAAAAAAATCAACAAAAACAAAAAACGGCTTCAAACGAATGTAAACATTCTTGGCTCAAGGCAGTGCTGCCAGAAAAGATTGACAAATTGGTTCTCATATACTGCTCTACCACCGTTAGTATTAGTGAGCAGTTTTACTAATACATGTGTTTTACCGGTTCAAAATAATAAAAAAAAACACTGTCAAGTCGAACACTTTGACAGCGGATTTCGTGGTTGAAAATAATAAACAAATCGATTTTTCACTGCTACACTAGCAACGTTGCCGTAGTGATATCTTGCGGCAAGAAGTCAATGGTGGTGTGTGGAAGTGTGTCGAAGAGTGTTTAACACAAGGTGACAGAGTGAATTACTCCCGGTGTCCTATTCTTCAAATATTGAATTATTTTTAATACTCATGAAAAATGCAATCTTTTTAAATATTGGAAATTTTGCTAGAACAACAACTTTTGGACATGTTTTTTTTTTAATTTCTTGTTAGTGCGCTTTTTTATGAAGTGTAAGACAGAAAACAATATTTGAGGCATCTTAAATCATTTTCAGTGCAAAAATTACTCAAAAGGGTGTAATATTTAAAAAAAATTACCAGCAGGTGTTGTTCGAAAATTGTTGTCAATTTTTAAGTGTTTACGGTATTCAATATTTCAATAATTTGCATTTTTCATGAGCTTTTTTCTTTTAAAAAAATCAAAAATTAGAGAAGAACATTTTGATATATTGAAAGTGTCAATATTTTTGGACAAAATTGGTCGTAGCTGATTGTGGTAATTTTTTGAATACTTCCAGATCAACCTGCCTTCTTAGGAGAATATCTGAGAAACTTCGTTTAAATTTATGATCTTAATCTTCCGGATGAACCTTAATTAACTTGCAATCTTGATAAAATATCCAGAGGACTTTATTGAAATCAGCTGGAGATCTTTTAAATACTTTCTGACCAGCCTTCCAGCTAGGGAAAACATCTGAGAGACGCCATTTTGAACAATCGAAGATCTTCAAATCATGATCTGGATCAACCAGAGATCTTGGAAGAGGAACCAGAAGACTTTATTAAAATGTATCATCAGCTGGAGATCTTTTAAATAATGCAGATCAACCGGAAAGCTACATCTGAAAGCGAAATTTCACTAAATATGTTGAACAGTTGAAGTCCATAACAGTACAGTACAGTACATACGGATCAACTTGCCGTCTTGAAAGAATATCTAAGAGACGATATTTGAATATCTGAACTATTGCACATCGCATATCGCATATCGATATTGAAAAATATTCAGAGGACTTCATTCATATCTTATTCAAAATCCAGGAATATCAACGAAGTTCTCTAAAATCCTTCAAAGTTTCCTGAACTGCTACGAAGATTTCTGTACATCCACAAAGTTTCTTGAACTAAAAATTTGTTCCATGAATTCAATCGAAGCTCCCTGAACTTCTTTCAAACTTATTGTGCTTATCTAAAATTACCAGACCCTCGAAGTTCCCTGAATTTGCGGGAAGTTCCGTGAACTTTTGGTTGGTTCCTTTAACTGTTACCGAGTTGCATGAATTATTGAGACATTTCCATAGCTTATACATTATAGAACTAAATGAACTTATGCGAATTGCTTGTAGCTCTTAGAAATTTTCCCTGAACATCTGCACAGTTTCCTTGACTTCTATTTGTTTAATTAATTCCACCAAAATCGCATAACAATTTTCCAAACTTCCGGGAATGCCCTGAAGCTTGTCTATGAAATTTCCAAGAAGTGTATTGAGCTTTTTTGAAATACATTTTCAGACAATGTGCTACGAAGTTCCCTTAACTAATACGAAGTTCCCTGTAATGTTAAGAAGTTTGCTGAACTTCTACGATATTCCCTAAACTTCTGCAAAGTCTACTGCTTTTCAATAATGTTTAACGTATTTATTCGACTTGCTACGTAATTCGCGTAGCTTCTACAAAGTTTGGTGAACCAATATGAAGTTCCCTGAGCTTTTACGATTTTCGTTGATTTTCTTATTTTCTAGAAGTTCCCTGAAGTTCTACAGAGTTTCCTGAAGTTCTGTGAAACTTCCTGCACTATTCCAACACCACTGAAATTTATCGAAGTGCCCTGAAGTTTAAAAAAGGTTCCGAAACATTTATGAAGTTTCCTGAAATTAAACAAAGCTTCCTTAACTTCTACGAAGCTTCTAAAACTAATTCAAAGTTCCCATTTTTACGAAGATTTTCCAATTTTTTATAAAACTTCCTGAATTTAAACGAAATTCTCTGAAGCTCCAGAAGTTCCCTGAAATTCTAATAAATTAGCTGATTTTGTAGGATGTCCCCTGAACATCTACCAAGGCCCTGAAATTTTTCTAAATTCAATGAAGTTAATCAAAAATTCTTGAACTTAAATGAAGCTCCCGTAGTTTCTAATAAAATTCGCTATTTTTTTTTTTCAAAGTTCACTTAATTCGTACACACTTTGATGAAGTTCTACAGAGATCTCTTGACTTCTACAAATTTGATGGAGTTCTACGAAATCATCTGCACTCATACGAAGTTTATTGGAGTTCTACAAAGTTCACAGGGTTTTTTGAAAGTTAGCTACCCGAGCAAAGTCTGAGATCAAATTGAAATCTAAATTTGATGTTGTGATTTCGCTGATAATGATTACTCAGGTTGCCGTCGTTTTGGTCGTTTAAACGGTTAAAATATCAAAATTGAGAGCAAACAAATCTTCCTGTGATATCACATTGAAAACAAATTCCTCCAATCAGTGAGAGCAAACTGAAAACTAAATTTGATATCCATTTTTCCTGTTGATAACAAAACAAGTATTCAGCGGTGCCGGTGGTGTAGTGGTAAGCGTGATTGCCTCTCACCCCAGCAGGCCTGGGTTCAATCCCAGTCGGCGCCGCAGGGATGTTCTGAGGCATAACATCTCTGATCACGCCTTCCTTCGGAAGGGGGAAGTAAAGCCGTTGGTCCCCGGTTCATGAGTTGATGGGTCGATAGGTAGGGTCCAGGTGTGGGAGCTGCCTTCCTGGCGTCGGTAGCATTGGTGCTCAGCACGGAAAACAAGATCGACGGAAAACAAACCAAAGGAAAAAAAACAAAACAAGTATTCAATTTGATGTTATGCTAAGGCAATGAAAACAAACCCGCAACAACATATTTTTGAGTAGCTAATGTACAGCAAAATGAAAACAAATTTAGGTATCAAATTTGTCAATTGCATAAACTGAAATCAAATTATGATTTCAGATTGATGTTGATATCAATACTTGATTTCAATTTGCTGTCATTTTGATGCTGGACTTTGCTCGGGTTAACTCCTATAAACTGTGAACAATTTCCAGAACATCTACGAAGTTTTTTTTAAGTTCTCCAAAGCTTCCTGAAGATCTATGAAGTTCTACAAAGTTCCATAAATTTTCACTAAGTTCATTGGAGTTCTATGAAGTTCACTGGGCTTTTTGAAAATAAGTGGAGCTCCTATAAAAGGTGATCTCCAGTGTACAGTTCTTGGACGCTGTTAAGTAATACGAAGTTTCCTGAAGATCTATGAAGTTCTACAGCATTCCATACGCTTTCACGAAGCTCCTTAAACTTCTACTAAACTCTCTGTGATCAAATGAAATTAACTTAACTTCTATGAATTGTACTTGACTTCTAAAAAGTTTACTTCAAATCTACGGACCAGTCGTAAAATTATTCGGATTTTTCAGAACAGAACAGAAACTGTTTTTTTTTTTAAATTGCGGAAGAAATTCTACGGATTTTCAAAATTATGGTTCAATCCTCGTTCCTCCCTTTCAAAATTCTTCACTTTTTGAATTCAGTGGAAACAAATTTACCTATCTACGGATCCTACTCCATAAGTTAACGACACTGGATATTTGGGGCTCATTGGGCGCACCTACAAAGCAAGACCATGCGGAAGGCGGCTGGGTTCAATTCCCGGTCCGGTCTAGGATTTTTTCGGGTTGAAAAACTTCTCGACTTCCCTGGGCATAGAGTATATGCTTGTACTTGCCATACAATTATACTAATGCAAAAATTGTACAGGCATCGAAAGCTCTCAATCAACCCTTTGTCTATATTTTGAAGTCAATATGACCCCAGGATGTTATGTCTATGTCTATCAAATTTTATTAAACACCAGTTTTAAAGGATTTTCGCAATGAACTTAGCTTTATTTGAGAGGTACAGACAAAGAGTTAATAACTGTGGAAGTGTACCTAGAATACTAAGTTGAGAGCACGCAATAAGCTAATATGCGATAAACACTAAGCTTGAAATGCGAAGAAGAAGAAGAAGTAAGAAGGATATTGGGCCTGCGCTTTCAATCAAAGAAAATGCACACTAGACGTCCCACGCCATCAAGTGATTGCACAACACTCTTCCATAATGTCATAATACTGTCCGGCATCAAAACACATTCCATTAGAATCAAAGAAGGCCTTGCCGTTAATTGCATCCATGACACATAATTTCCCCCGTCTCGTTGAGTGCATGACTTCGCCGTTTGTGCAGATCTTGTTTATCCGACAAATTAGCTCAATCCCGGCTTACTCTATGATCAACACGTTGTCGTCGTCGTCGTCGTCGCCGTCGTCATCGACAGCCGTTAATGACATGAATAATTTCCTTTTAATAATCGTAATCATAACCGCCCGCCATAGCAACGGTGCACAAAGTAGGCGCGGACTTCTCAGCGAACTGTGCATTAACCCGGAGGACAACCCGGCGGTGGAGCTGAATTTGAATTGCTCACACGAGCAGACTTACGTAAGTCCCGGGTGATGTGTGGACGCCCTTTTTCCCCCCGTCCCCAGCATGGTCCGCGAGCGCCAACAATGGCTGTTACAGTTCTGTTTTTATGCCTTCTCCATCAAACAACGCGCGTTCGATCATTGATGTTAACCCAAGAGGAAAGAAATAAACACACGAAGCCGTCCGTCGTCGTCGTCGTCGGCGTCGTCTACCGTCTTCTGCATACAATACTGCAGCAATGCGCAACATACAAAAGCCAAAACAAGAAGAATGACTGTTTTTGTTGCTGTTGTTGATGTTGTTGTTGTACACAACAACAAGTCGAGAGGCGAACTCTCACTTTCACTTCTTGAAGCTGAGGCTTCGTCGTCGCCGTCATCGTTGTTGTTGTTGTTGGTCGTTACAAATTTACCACATGTAGTCCCATAAATCGTCTCTACGATCTCCTGAATCTCCCCGCGAAACTCAACAACACGTGTATGAATTGAAAACATGACAATCTCCTTCGCCACCCTCTGCTGCAGTCTGACAGCTTTCTGTTTTTACATCAATCTGTCAAAAAATGCAACAACTTAGTAACCTTTGGTACCCGTTTTCTCCCATCCACAGAACCCGGCACGAATGTTATGGAACTGCGCACGATGACCACCCCGAAGCAACAGCGCGAGGATCGACGGTACTCGGTACCTCACGGAATGCACGGGCTACCTCCCGGCGCAGCGGACGATCTTCACGCGTGGTCCATTTATAGGTTAGTTTTCTTCATTTTTGATTGTTTGTTTTGTTTTCACAACGCAACCTTCACTCTGGATTTCACCCGGTGCGGTGTCCAAATCCCAACGATCACGATTTGTCATTTGTGTCATCAAATCGCCGCAATTTGTTGTGAAGACATTCGGAAAAGCTCCGCAGCAATCCAACGGCCACGTCTTGTGAAAGTCAACAAACTCGGCGAGAAAATGCGCAACTTCTCACAATCACCGCAGAAATTACGGTTTTGATTAGGCCAAATTGGTTTCGATGGATGCGAAAATGCCCCGACCGCCCCCCGTCATAGCAGTCATCATGATGGCGGGTGGGGCATTGTTTCGTTATTTTCGCTGGTTTGATTTTTTTTTTACCTATATCGCTTCTCGTTTCGGATGAAGGTCGATGCGCTACGTGGTCGGTAAAATTGATTTTGGGTTTTGTTTTGGTTTTCGAAAAACCTTTTCGTACGGAGCTTCGAGGTTTTGGATTTCAGCGAGAAAAGGTGTGTGGAAGAAAAGTGGCAGCAGAGCGTGGTGAGATTGGGAAATGAGATCGGTTGTTGTGTGGTATCTGAATGACTAAAGAGGCTGGATTGGGTAAAGTGGCGACATCTCATCAATTTGACAGGTTGTCTGCTCGATTGGAATGACTTTTCCCATGACTGACACAGGGATGCAGGTTTACAGACATTTGTACAACTTGATCTGCAGTAATATTTGGTGTAAAAATTGCTCAAATTGGTAATTATTATAATTTTTTAGTATAAATATTAATGATATTAACTGTCAAGTGGACAGCTTCAAAGTAAAAAAAATATCAGTGTAACTTTAACGCATACACTCAATGACGTTTCACCGTTGTTGTTTATGTTTACTGCAGCTTTCATTTTTGCCTAGATTTTCGTTTTCGATAGCTCTGATCGATTTCGACTTCGACTTTTCATGATAAAAACGGTACTGGACGTTCCCCCAGCAGCAAATTTTGCCAGGTGCAGGCTCATGGCAAATCGAGTGTAATACGACCACGGAACCATCACTCTGGAAATTAATGACTATTTTCTGGGACAGAAGTGCGACCGATTATTTGCACTGAGATCAGCTAACAAATAATGCCGAATTTTTTAGAACAAGGAGCGAATTTTGGTGGCGGTGGCCAGCAAGATCATCAAAGAATGACTTGCATCTGGTGTGAAATCCATTTTTTATTAAACGAATGTCAAATGTACACTTCAAACCAAAAATAGTCGTTGCAAACAATCCTTCATAACTCTGAAATCTCTTAAACCTCTCAGAACTTTCACGAGCTTATTGAGCTGTATGTTCTCATTCAAAGGTCATCTCCAAAGCTCTCTGAACCTCTCCATAGTTTTCATAACAGCTTTGAAGTTTTGTAGAACACTTTATAGGTCCTCGTAATTTGCTGAATCTATCTATAGCTCATCAAACCTCTCAAAATGTATGCACTTTCAAAGTTTCCTTAGAAGTTCGGGTAGCTTCAAAAATGTTCAAAGATCTTCATAGAAGTTTAGAAAATTCCAGTACATTTTAGAACCGGCTAATTTCAGATAAAATTCCTGAATTTCAATAGAAGTTCTGATAAATTCGGGAAGCAAAAATATAGGAAAGTGTTGACCTCTTTCGATCAATTTCCAATAATTTAATGGTGTTCCAAGAACTTTAGTAAATATCCGAAGCGTTCAGAGAAGTTTCATAAACTTCAGGAAAGTTCCAAGAACTAGTGGAAAGTTCAGAACTTTATCTATGTTCGATTTATCTCTAAAACCTCTCAGAACTTTCACTAACTCTCCAAAGCTCTCTGAACCTATCCAAAGTTAGTTTAACAGTTTCGATGTTATGTAGAACACTTTAAAGATCCTCGAAATTCGCTAAACCTGTCTATAGCTCGTCAAACCTCTAAAAAGTTATTCAGTCTTCGAAGCTTCTTCTTCTTCTCATTCGCTCCCTAATCATTTCAAAGTTTCTTTGGAAGTTCAGAGAACTTCAGAAAAGTTCAGAGAGCTTCATAGAAGTTTAGTAAACTTCAGCAAATTTTAGAACCTGCCAATTTGAAATAAATTTCCTGAATCTCAATAGAAGTTCTGATAAATTCAGGGTACTCCAGAAAATAATAGGAAAGCTTCGAGTCTTAACATCGATTTCGAATACTTAAGTTATGTTCCAAGTACTTTAGTGAATATCCGAAGTGTTCAAAAAAGTTTCATAAACTTCAGGAAAGTTCAGAACTTTATCTATGTTCTATTTATCTCTAAATCCTCTCAGAACTTTCACTAACTTATTGAGGTATATGTTCTTGTTCAAAAGTCGTCTCCAAAGCTCTCTGAATCTCTCTAAAGTTTTCTTTACAGCTTTGAAGTTTGTAGAACACTTTAAAGATCCTCGAAATTCACTGAATCTATCTATAGCTCGTCAAACCTCTCAAAAATTGTTCAACCTTTGCAGCTTCTTCTTTTCATTAGATCCCTGATCATCTCAAAGATTTCTTAGAAGTTCGGAGAACTTCAGACTGGTTCAATTGAGTTAAGTAAACTCCTACAAATTTTAGATAAATTTCCTGAATTTCAATAGAAGTTCCGATAAATTCAGGGAACTCCAGAAAAAGTAGGAAAGTTTCAAGCTGTTTACATTAATTTCAAATAGGGGATATGGCTCTAATGTTGGTCTATGGATCTAAGATTGGGCCCATCGCTAAAAATCTGCTATTTATCAATTTTATGCCGACATTACATCCATTTCCTCTACTTCAATGATGTTCCAAGAAACTCAGTGAATATTCAAACCGTTCAGAGAAGTTTCATAAGCTCAAGGTGTAGTAGATAGAGTTAGTGTTGAATAAATAATGAGTAGAACCGAGTGAGCGTGAAGCGTGATAGTCCGTTTGTAAACGGAATCTCATTGGTTAGAGAATTTTTGATAGGTTGAAGGCATTCTTGTAACGAATTTTGGAGGTGACGGATCACCAGCAGCAGCAGAAACAGCAGCAACAGAAACAGCAGCAGCAGCAGCAATAGAAGCAGCCGCACCCGTGGGAGCTGCATCGCTAATTCGTGTAGCCGTGGCCGAGGCTGGAAACCTCGGTCCGGTCACGACAGAGGGAAAGTTCCAAGAACTACAAAAAAGTTCGGAACTTTGGGAATCTGAAAGGGTTGGTTCCGAGAAATTCAATTCAGTTCTATGATCTTTTGGATTTTTTTTGTGATCTTCACGACTTCACGAGTTAATGAAACAACTTCAAGAAAATTTCCTGAATTTTTCAAAGCCTTCAAGAAACTTCATAAAACTTCAGGTAAGTTCAAAGATCTTAAGGAAAATTCAGAGAGCTTTTCGAAATTTTTGAGAATTGTTTGGCAGTTCCATGAATATCCGGAAAATTGTGAAAACTTTAGGGAAGTTCCAAAAAGTTCAAAAAATGGCAGCAACTTTACAGATATTCCAAGATCAAAGTCCAGAAAACTTCAAAGAAGTTAAGAGTCCCATGAATGTCAGAAAGTTTTTGGGAACGTAAATGAAGTTCAAAGAAATTTTGTAAAATTTTGAAAACTTTATGTTAATTCCATTAACATCAGAAAAATTGTGAGAACCTGAAAATTTAATGGAAATTCCAAAAACATCAAGAACGTTCAGAACAAAATGGCAATTTTAAGATCTTTATGATAGGTTCCAACAGCTTCAGGGCAGTTCCAAAGATTTCAAAAAAGTTTCAAGAACTTCAGTGACGATCCAAGCTTGTGAGAAGTTCTACCAAATGCAGGAAAATTGCAGGAACTTCAGGAGCTTCCGTTGCAAAAACTTCAGTCGAGTTTAAAGATCTTAAGGGGAATTGCGTAACTTTGGGCAGTTCTGACACAATTCAGGGCAGATTCACGATTACCAAAGAAGTTCCAAGTACCTCAGAAAAGCTAGGTCTTGAGATCCTTAGGGATTTTCAGAGATCCTAAAAGGCCACCCACATTAGATCCGGATCTGACGCGTTGTTGCGAAGTGACAGCTAAATCTATTGTCTTCTTCTTCTTCTTCGCATTTTTTTCAAGCTTATTGCATATCGCATATTAGCTTATTGCGTGCTCTCAACTTTAGAACACTTAAGTTTTCAACTTTAAAACACTAAGTGCTCTCAACTTAGTGTTCTAGATGCATTTCCACAGTTATTGAGAGCTTTCGATGCCTGTACCATTTTTGCATTGGTATAATTGTGTGGCAAGTCCAGGGAAGTCGAGAAATTTTCCAACCCGAAAAATTCCTAGACCGAACCGGGAATTGAACCCAGCCACCTCCAGCATGGTCTTGCTTTGTAGCTGCGCCTTTACCGACTGAGCTAAGGGAGGCCCCTAAATCTATTGTCTAACTGTCAAATTTACGTTAACGCAACGCAAACGGATCTTATTTCAAGGTGTTCCAGGAACATCAGGAAAGTCCAGATTTTCTGGTAAGCTAAACGATATGTCAGTGTAAGTTCCGATATATTCAAGACAGTTCCATTAGTTTCTGTAAAGTTTCGAAAGAAATGCCAGCAACTCCAGAGAGCTTAAGAAGATATCAGAAATATTACGCAAACGTCACAGTAGTAGGTACACAGAACTTCAGGGATGTCTAAAGGTTTTCAGGACAGTTCCATTTATTTCAGGACAGTGCCAAGAACTATAAGATTGATAATTTTCTCGACTTCCCTGGACATAGAATACGAAACTATCGATTTTAAATTGGCTCACTACTTGACTAGCCTATTGGTCCCAAGCAAACGATTAACGTATCCCATTCTAGTCAAAATTCTAGTACTACACTATGTTTGTTTTGATTTACTATGAAAGTTTGACCGATAAAATGAGGGGTTCGTGGATTTTCCTATGTTTCGAGGGGTGCATCGATTAGCTTGGGACCGAAGATAGTACCAGAGCTGAGCCAAAAAGTTGAGCACGTATCTTCGGGACCTTCTGGTCTTAGAGTTACCTCTACGATACTATTGTGCTTGCCACACAATATACAA